ATGATATGTTCAGAAACTCAAAAGAACTCATTCTAAATTCTTAATTGCATGTCATCTGCTATTCACCACGTGTTTGTTTTGAGGCCCAGTTGTCACTTAGAACATGCCTCATTGTCTGATCAGGCAGGTGGAGGTCATGCTTTGAGGAAAACACATGACAATATGTGAAGTATTTGCTATAATAGATCAAAAGCTAATTTGTTAGGAAGTAGTCACTAGTAGGATGTGGCTCTCACCCACCTCACTAAATTGTATGGAAAATAAAGATAGCTTGTAGAATAGAAATACACTACCTACCAGTAATGACCAATAAACTTATGAGTCATCAAATGAAAGTCGAGAAAAATATTGCCAGTATTCCAGAAGATTCTATGATTTCCATCTTGAACAAAATCAATCAATGTCACCTTATTTGCGACCATCATCATGGATTTCAGGAAATTCCTTTCTTCCCTTTATTTGTAGGGTTTATCTTAGGTATACATCCCTAAATAACACATGATGTCTGCTTTTAAACTTTAGGTAAATGAGACAATCTTAAACACATAGTTTTTTATAATCTTCTTACATTTACTTACTACCATGTTTAAAGATGGATATACATGACCATTTAGAATACTAGTTTGCGCATTTTCGCTGGCGTACAATATTTGATTTTCTACATAGAACACCAAATTTTCTCTTTTCATTTTTGGCGCATGTAATTTCAAAATGATTTTGGCTAATATGAAAAACTCTCTTGTCAATGTCCTTGTGAAGGAATCCCGGTGCATATGTACACATTTTCTCTAAGGTATATGCTTAAAGATCATAGCTATGTGTCTCTTATCTTAACTAGATAAGTATCATCTACTCTCTAAATTCATGGATGTACTTTGTACTCCTACAAGTAATGAATTTGAATTCTATGTGCTCACTATTCTTTCCCAAAACTGATGTTACCATTTTTCTCTTTGCATCTCCTCTGGCTGTGCTGAAATTTTGGTCTTGTGATTTCCCTGAAACTGTGCCACAATATTAAATTAGGAATTATTATTACACATAAAATACAAGGAAACAGGTGCATTTTGGGGCTACCAAAGTGGAACTCAAGGTGTCCTGTTGCTTTGGACTGTTTTGTAAAAGTGAATTCTGTGCATCACTTCTGCACAACTGTTCATCAGGGACCTCACACTGGTATCTTGAAGTCAGCCATGACAGGAATATATACACCAGAGGAACTGGAAATTGCCTTGAATCAGTGTTTTTAACAATTTGTTTTTCAAGGAGACTAAAGAACTGTGCTATCACTTCAAATAACAATATCTCCATTCCAAGTGATGATATTTCTGAAGAAACTACACAGGTAGCATCTGATGAAAAGTGAAGGGTTTGTGGAGTCCAGAGAGGGTGTTAGGGCATCATTTTTGATTTACCTCCCTCAGGCTGGATCTTTGTTATGTCAATGTATTGATTTATTTTAAAAGATTGCATGTTCTGAGTGAGAAGATGGAGACTCCTTTTTACACATTTAAGGTATGTGGTAATTGCAAATAAAAAAAATATATTACATGAAAATGTATCAGAGCATGGAAATGTAAGGAGGTGTGGACTCAAACCTGCCATGTGTGATATATGCTGATTTCACAGAAATGGGAAAAGACAGGAGCCAGTGAAGATAACTCAACAGTGGTCAGAAAGGAAATTTCCATGGTTTATTGACAGAAGAGTCCAGACATCAACCCTGCACATGAACAATGATTCCTCCATCTCACAATGACCTGCAGACAGTTCACACAGCATATGCCCCAGATTTTCTTCCAGAAACTCCTGGGCACGTGAGATTTATATCCAAGGCTCTACCACTCTGAACAATGCATTTTTCTCTCTTGTGTTTACCCCCTGGCTGCACCTTGGAATCTTCTCAGGCTGAACTGAGACTGAAATAGCAGAATCCCAATGACCACCAGGATCAAGCCAGCCACACTCATCCGGATGAGATTCTCCACCGTGTAATCTTGGGGATGTGAGGCTAGGAATTGTGGATAAAGAGGTCACAGAGGTCAGAGCAGAGCAAAATCATCCCCGGATCCCTGGATGTCCACCCAGGGCACCTGCCTCCCTTGACAAGACATGGCCCTCTTGACAGGGACCAGATGCATAACTGAGAATTTCTCCTACTCACCACTCTTGGACTCTGACTTGTTTTGTGAAGGGCTGATAGTGTCGACTGCTCCTGAGAACCAAAAAAAAAAAAAATTGGGGATAGATGAGGAGTTGATGAGACTCAAGCCTTCCCCCTGGGCTCTGTATTCTTATAATTCCCTCTGTTTCTCATGACATCACTGTTATGCAGTCCCCTAATTTATTCTGTCTCTGCTGTAGAAGGGTTCCTTCTATTCTCATTGGATTCTTTCAGTCTCCTTTTGTTTTTTGAATTTCAAGTTTGCTTCTGAGTCATTAGGAACAGAGTTTTGATGTGCCCCAAGAGCTCATGGTCTCCCAATACAGAAATAACTGAGTTCTTTTATGCTCCCTGTTCATTCTGGGATATGGACCATGTAAGATAACACTTCTAGATATGAGACCTTCTATTTATTCAACAACTGAGGCCCCAGGATCCATGGATGAGGGGTTGGTGTCAGAGGCTCCTCAATGTCATTAGCACAGAGGGCTAGAAATCAGCAGCTGGTCCCCTTCACGCCATGTCAACCAGTTCCTTCCTTCCGGGGTCTACATTTTAGTCTTCACCTGGAAATTCATCATCCATTCATTCTTTCATTAATTCATTCTTCATACAGTTGGATATACTTACAGTGGGATACATACACACACACACACACACACACCATATACATATATATATTTTCTAAATGGTGACGTTAGTTCAGTGGGACATAAAACTGTGTTTCTGTTTTCTTAGAGTGGAGTCTATGTGGATCTATGATTCTGTGTGGATCTATCTATTGAGATCAGTTCTGAACAGCGTCTTAGTCAAGGTCACACTTGGAATTGATATTTAAATTTATTCCTCAGTAAGACAAGGAGTCTGAGAGGAGCCTCCTGGAGACCCAGATGAGGAGTGTCACAGGCTGCAGGACGAGAAGGTCCCCAGAAAAAACTCAGTCTTTTCTTCATTAAGGAGTAAAGTCATGTCCGTGGGATGTAGGGAGAGTCAAGAGGAGATGAGGGAACTGAGATTCAGGGGCTTGGTGTACTTGAGACAGGCCAGGGACGACAGCACAGAGGAGGGAGGCTCCATCATCTTCATTATTCCCACACTCATCCTCATCCTCATCCTCTCTCTGGAAGAACTCTGAAAACTGCTGTAAGGTTTCAAGGAGAGAAAACTAATCACATGGTATTTATCTCAAAAAACAACCTCTTCTCTCTCCATATCAAATCTCCAGAACCAAGGAAATCCACAGTTCATGTCTTCAAAGTCCAAGGACCAGAGAAAATCAGTTCCGTTAAAAAACTGGGCAAACGCACAAAAATAGTTAATCCTGCAAATCTATTTTAACCAGTTTTGACATAAAAACCAAAAAATGATTAAAAAATATATTATAGGTCAATGCTAATTATAGATGCTGTGTAAAAATTTTGAATAGGTTTATACAGTTCAGAAAATAGGAACGAATGATAGAGGTCATTCAGTGGGGTTAGGATCCAAATGTTTGATACCAAGAAGACTTTTAAAAGCATCTCACTGTGATTGTAAATCAAAGATAAAATATAATTTCTCAGGAGATGTACAATTGTCTGGAAAAGAAATTCAAATTTATTTTTTAAAAGATGTTTTTCCTAATAAATCTCTGATGTAAAAGAAAAATGAACTGAAACGGATAGGTCAATAATGCTGTACATAGAAAATATAGATTTCTGATGAATGTGCATTAAATAATTTGAGCTAACAGAGAAGATGTTTTCTTAAAGTGACCCTCAGCTACAGCTGAACACTTTTCTTTGTCATCCGTATCACATGTTGTTTGATGCAAAAAAATGGGTACACAATCTAGAAATAAAGGTGAAATTTCAATTGTTTGTGATTGATATAATTATTATCAGTAAATCTGAAGTGATCATTTGAAAAAGATCTTTTCTTATAAATACAATATACAAAAAATTTATAAGTAAAATTTAAAAATAAATAAATAAAATAAAAATATGATGAAATCAGAGTCTTAGTTACAACCTATTAAAGTAGTTGAGCAATTCCTAAGCTCTGAATAAAGACAATTTTATGAATAAAAATACAAAATGTGTGAAGTCATTAACAAATTTTCCTTTTAAGCAACTTTTACAAGATAATTTCTTACTGATAACTTATTCTACATAAGTATAGATTTAATAATCTCAATGAAAATAGGAGTAGAATGACCTATTTTAAAGTCATGAATCTTTATAACTTAAATTTGTAAATTTATATATGCAAATATTGCTATAAAATTTCTCAGAGAAAGAGAGAGCAATAACAGAAGTGTGCACAGAAAATGCAGAGTAGACGTGAGCTGCACACAGACGTGCTGTGCAGTGATCCCCTAAGTGACCCCAGTGAACTGTGCACGGTTCTTCCTTAGTCTCAGGTGTGCACTGAGTGGCTGGAGGCCTCCAGGTGAGCACAGGAGGGCCGTGCAGAGCGGTACCCGCAGGTGGGGATGGTTCTCTCTATAGAAGTGTGTCTTGTGGGACCTGGGACACCAGAGGCTCAGATTCTGAGATGGAGACATCAGGAGGCAAGTGGTGGGGGCCTGTCTTCTACCCTCAGTCTAGTCATGTTCCTCCTGGGTTCACCCACGTCTCACTCAGCCCTCCCTACTCTGTATCTCTGCTGAGATTCAGGGATAAGATGCCCCAGGAGTAAGAGGTCTCTGCCTATTTCCATCCTTTCACGGACGGACCCTTCCCGGTGGAACCGCCCAAGTGCTCCAAATATTTGCATCATAGTCAGAGCTCTCCTGTGGACAGAGCCCTGAGCTGACCCTTTGAGATCAGAAAGGGCAGGGAGAAGGGCTCCTCACCTGAGACCAGAAGCTCCAGGGGGTCACTGGGGACCGACCACACCTCAGGGTACTTCCTGTTATATCCATAGCATCTGAACGTCCACCTGAGGCTGGGGGTCACGGGGCCCACAGGGAAAAGGGCCTGGGGCTGCCCACTGGGGTGTCGCTGTGAGTCCAGGGTCCAGGAGGGCTGGTGTTCTCCTTCTTTAGCCAGAATAAACCTGTCAAATCCCAGCCATGAACCACACTGAAGGGTCACGTTCCCTCCTGAGGTCACCACAGGGCTCGGCAGGGCTGAGAGGGAGGGTTTGCTGTAGACTCCTAGGAGAGGAGGAGGCAGTGTGTTAAATGAGGTCCACACCTCCCTCATATCCCGCAGGGCTGGGCTGAGAGAGGGGAGACACTCCTGAAAGCAGACCCCCTTCCTGAGGGCAGACCTGAGGCTGGGACCCTTGAGTGTCCCCTCACCTGTCACCACCAGCTTCAGGGGGTCACTGGGATCTGACTGTTCTGTGAGGCTGTGATAGTAACAGCGATATTGTCCTGCATACAGATCTGTCATCTGTGGAATGGAGAAATTGACCTTGTTCCCAGGTTCCCATTGGCTCTGTCTGCTCCATGGTGATGCACTTCCCTCTTTATCCAGACAGTACTCCTTGGCCTCCAGGGCCCCCTGACACCAGATGGTCACTTGCATCCACCAGGTGACCACAGACCCTGGCTCAGCCCAGACGGTGGGTTTGGGGAGGGTCCCTGGGAAGAAATTAGGGGCTGGGTCACAAGATATTCCCCACCCCCACTTCAACTCTCAGCCCCAGGACCTGCCCAAACATCCTCTATCTGTCAGCCCCAAACTGCTGTTCTCTGTCTCCAGCTACTGGGGTGGCGTCCTGTCCCAAGGAAGTGGTGGGACCTGGGACACCTGGAAGCAGACTCACCTGCATGCACTGGTGTCCTCAGGTTCACACTCAGTCCTGGAAGAGAGTTCCCTGTGAGAGATTTGCCCCTGGATCCTGAGCAGAACCTCTCCTCCCTATGAGCCGCCTGAGTCCTGGGGTCTCCTGACAGACCAGTTCCTGGCTGTGGGTTGGGGTCCCTCACAGACTAGGGCTTCCCCTCTCCCTCCTCAAGTCTCACCAAGGTAGAACAGGGCCATGAAGGTGGTGGTCATGGCGTCTCCTCCTTCTGGCCCCGGCTGTGCAGATGGAGGAGACCACGGCGCCCGGCAAGACAGACAGACACACAGGGTGTGGTCACATGAAGGCTGGTTCTCCCAGTCACAGATTTGTCGTATCAACGGCCCCACAGGAAGGGGAACTGCCCCACCCCAGGAGCCTTGTTCTCATTTCCAAGTCAGAGCAGCAAATATACGTGGTGCCTTCCCGAAATGCCCCTTCCATATGAGGTGACCCAGAGCACGTACTTCCCTCTCAGTGCTTCCCCCTTGGGGTCTCCTTCATCCTCAGCCCGTCCGTCAGAACATCCTTGTGGGATCCTCACCACGGACAGTGGTCATCCACATCCTGGAGATGCTTCAGGGAAGACGCAGGGTCCTCCTGCACTGCAGAGCTCAGATCAGCAGACACACACGCTCAACATCTACCTGTACAGTTCAGGTCCAGGTCATTGTGACAATGAGCACAAAGGAGAAATACAGTGAAATAAGGGAAGGAAACATTACTCTTCTCTTGGCTCCAGAGTGTGGGCTTTCTTTCTATTACAGCCCCCTTCTCGGACTTCTCTTTGTTCTTTCAACAACATCCACCTCCATCTGTCTGGGTTAGTGCTCCAATTTGGGGGACAAAACTGATTCTTATTTAAATATTCCTCCATCTTCTACTGCCCATGTGAACTTGAGAATTAACACCCAATCTCTGAGCCTCAGGTTCCTCGTCTACACCATGCTTTCATGAGCCCTCCTCCTCAGAGTGGTTGTGGGATCAGTGTTGCTCAGTTCATGGGAGGGATCAGCCATTGTTAATTTCCAGGTCTGATTAAGACATGTGGGGTTTGAAATGTGAGAGTATTGAGGTGTCACACTCCACATTAATGGTGGATGATTTATGCGCCACTCAAGAGCCTCCATCTGCTCCTAACCATGAGAAATGCTACTTATAATATTTCTGAAATATGTAGCCACAGTCAATTGCAGAGAAAGGGAAATGAAAGTTCCAAAATAGAGAAGGAACCACAACAAAAATATACCGGAGATGAGTGGCCACAGGTGCCTGGGACCAGCAAAGAGTCATTAGAGTGGAAGTTTCCACCTCTGTGTGGACAAGAGAGGGACCCCCAGTCCTCACAGGCAGGGAGCAGAGCAGAGCTTAAGGTGAAATTTGGAAGCTGTGTTTCCATCACACATGTTTGTGATTGGGCGCTGGATTATGTCTACCCATTGACCCAGCTCCATGGTCAGCACTGAGCCACATCCCATGTGAGTGTGAAACAGATTCAATTCAGTATAGTCCCACATGGGCGTCTATTCATGAGTGAGTGTCAAATTCATGCTGGAGCCATCCCTGCCAGGAACATGCCTAGTCTGATGCTAAGTTTGGGATAGTGGATGCCATGGGGCAGCAGCAGCTATCCATCCCTTTCATCCCTGAATGTCAAGACAGCCCCGGAAGAAACTCTCTATGGAAAATCAGGTGAGTGTCTAACAGGAATGGACATCAAATTATCATCCAAAAAAGGTTAAATAGCGCTATGAACGACAATCTATGAAGTCATTAATGGAGGCTCATATCCAAGGAAATAGAACACAAGGAATATGTGAAGTTCATGTTAATTTAAGCATGTATAAACACCTGAAAAAATAAAGAAGGAAAATGAATTCTTGAAACAACAAAGGGGTTATATTACAGAGGTACATATAATTTTAGAAATGAATTAGGCAAATATCTTAGAGGCAAAAATAATAAATTCATTTAACATACTCAAAATATTCTTTCCATCAAAGAGATGATACAGATGAAGATCCAATTATGAAAGTAGAATACAGTAATGAGGAAATTTTGTAAGATGCAATACAGAGAGACTGGAATGAGAAAATCAAGATGCATGAAATAGAAAGAGAAAGACAATGTACATTGTGAGTTTCAGGAGGAAAGCAGTGAGAACGATGTCTGCAGCAGTCCTGGAGGGAAATGGTGGGCATTTTACAGAGATGCAGAAGGAACATGTGAGTGCTGGGTGCATGGATATCAATGAGAGTTGTGTCTTGATATTTCATGGCAAAGTGAAGGAAGTTGATGGGAGCTGACTTTCACACAGAAAAAAAAATGCTAAACGGTATAGGAAAAGTACATTCAAAGAATAAATTGTGAGTGAAGAATTCTACATTCTCCCAAATTACTATTAAGGGACAAAGGTGAAAGGGTCAGCAAGGGAGAAATCCGTAAGTGCGAGGAGACCTGGGGCACATCTGACCTGTTTGGTCTCACGTCTCACATGTTAAACCCACCATGTCAGGCTTCATCTTCATGAGGGATGAGTAGTGCTTTTGGGGCAGATCCTTAACCATCAGATGTATTTTCCACTCCTTGCAGTTGGAGCATATACTTTACTTAAAATAACAAAATGTTTTGAAGTATCTTAATAAAAACAGAGAGTGAAAATAAGTCATTTCGAGATTTCTCAAGGTTTTAAACATTTTACTGTTTACGTGCTGACTGAAGCAAAACTAAAGTATATAATTAAGCCAAAAGAACAAGAGATGCAAAATAGAGAATGTGAGATGCAAAAGTGAGAAAAAGATGGCAAAACAAATAAACATTGGAAAATCATATTTATATAAACATACCCGTATATACATTTACATTTAATAAAGCTAAATCAAAATATTGGGAGTGTAAAGGTGTGTGTCTGTGTGTATGATAGAGAGAGGAGAAAGAGTGAGAGAGCTTTTAAAAGAAAGTAAGTATTGAGAGTTCAGCTAATGTGTAATGTCCTTTTTTTATCTACAGGAGAGGGTGAATAAAAATTGTTCAAAATTACAAATGCAAATACCAATATTAACAATGGGAGTAACTATCAAAACTTAAAACTCAATATATAACCTCCAAACTGGTTGATATAATAACATAAAACAAATAAATATCGATGAAACCAAAATTGGTTTAGAATTTTGAAATAAAGGTTAGAGAAAGCAGAATATCTTAACCCATAATGAACACACACTTAAATAAAATGGTGGTAATACTTTAAATTTATTCGCTTATTACCAAACAGTAAAAGATTAATGGACTTACTCCAGGTTTAGATCAAAGCACACTCCCCCAGAAAAGACCTGATTTATACTAACAATAAACTCTCATAAAACACAAAATTATTAAAGAGTATTTAAATAAATAATCATGTTATTTTCACTTAATAAAATAAGCTGATAGTTTTAAATATTCAAGAAAATTCGATGTAAGGCAATATGTTTTTATAATAAACTATTTATTATGAATAATATATTCACATCTAGTTATTGCATTCATAAACATACATTCATCTAATCACATATCCTTGAAATACATAAAACATAAGTTAATACATAATTGGAGAGCCCAATAAATATTTATAAGATAGATTAAGAAGGTGAAAAGAACATTTTTGTGAGAGTAAATTACACACTTAAATGATTGATCTAATGTCTAAAAATATTATTAAACTTTGCATTATTTATAATGTATAGAATATGCATAAAATTATTTGTGAATGTATGCGTAAAAACAAGTGAATAAATAAATAAATAAATAAATAAAATATGATGTTGTGTGCATAGCAACAAGGAGGAAATGCACATATTTAAGGCCCATATTGTACTTAAAATGTTAATCACTTGTTAGACAAAGAAGCAAGTATATCTGATTCTTTCCATATTTCTAGCATATACATTATGTTCCCTGAGTATGAGTATAGAGTGATTTAATTAGCAATCTGTAATAAGAAGATACTATTAAAAATTCAATACTTCATGAAATTAGTAAAATACTAAAACATGGAATGTTTAAATTTATGAAATATTAAGAAAAAAGGATGATGAAATTGCATCATGTTAAAACTTGGAGAATATCAGAATAAAAAAGAAGACATACAGAAAGACGTCAGCAGGATGGCGGAATGAGAGTTCCTACCGTCATGCTCCCACAGAACAATGATTTTGACAATCAAAATAAAAAATGGGTGAACATCATCTCTAAAATAACCCCAGTCCGTATTGATGATGTTACCTCAGTTCAGATTCGTGGGACATCATGAGTTCAGAGACTCACGTGAAGCTATTTTAAATTCCTAATTACGTATCTTGAGATATCGGATAAAATGTTTGTTCAGAGATTCGGTTTCTCACCTGGAAAGAGGCTCATTGTCTGATTAGACTCAGGTGAGTATGAACAGGTAGATGGTGGTCTTGTTTTGAGGGAACCTCAATGCCAACATACGAAATATTTGCTATAACAGATCAAGAGCAACATTGGTGGATATCCAGCGTCTAGTGAAGGCTATGGCTTTCTCCAACCTACTTAACTCTCACTTCACTAAATTGTATGGAAAACAAGCATAGGTTATAAATAGAAATGTGGTATTTATCAATAACAACAAATAGGCAGGTAAGTCAACAAATGAAGGTCAAGAAGAACATAGTCAGTGTTCCAGAAGACCTAGTGGTTTTCATCTTGAACAAAATATTCCAACATCACTTTATCGTACACTATCATATTTTTTAAATTGTTCTTCAGAGAGCTGGTTTCCCATTACACTACCTGACTTTCACATCAAACGCCAGTGTGCTCATTCAGACTATTGGTATTTTGGGAGAAACTATACCAGGTGTCATCTGATGAGGAAAGAAGGGATTGATAGGTTCAGAGAAGGTTTTCTGGAATTACTTTGGATTTATCTATTCCAATCTGCATCCAATTTTTACCCATTTGTTCAGTTATTTAAAACAGATTCTGTGTTCTGAGCTGAAAAGATGTAAACATCAGGGAATGTGGTAAATGAGAATAGAGAAATGTATAACATGAAAGTGAACTGGCCCATGAAGCTGAGTATAGGTGTGGACCCAAACCTGCCATGTGGAGGTAGCCTCATGTCATAGGGGTGAGAAAAGAAGGGGAATTAGTGGTATGGAGGGAAACTACCACAGTTTCATTTCAGAAAAGCCTCTACAGGAACAACCCA